TTGGGGATCAAATACACACACTTCTAAAACTGTATTTTTAACCGTTTTGCAAAATGATAAGTTTTCATAATTGGTAAATGATATTTAAGAAAAAAAATTTCTAACATGTTTATTTTTATCAGAATAATCATTGTCCTAAGTTTTATAATTTTTGGAATTTATTTACTATCTTTAAAGCTCATTTGAAAATTAGATTTTCAGTTCAAAACTAGGTTGTGCACGTTTTTCCGTCGATCGATACTATTCATCAGTCGACCAAAGAACTGCTCTGCAATTGCTAAAAGTTTTTACTCAGTCGATCGACTTCATCAATCGACTGATCAGTATTTTCAGTCGACCGACACTATGCTCAGTCAACTTTCAAACTACTCTGCAATTGATGAAAAGTTTCTACTCAGTCGACCGACCTCCATCTGTCGACTGAATAGTGTTTTCAGTTGATCGATGGTTTGCATCAGTAGACCGATAGTTTCTCAGAATCAGCCAACGGTCAGCTCATCAGTCTACTGAACATTACATCAGTCGACTGAACAGTACATCAATTGACCGACGGCACTGTAACGGCTAATTCCAGATTTTGCTAATTTCTCGCCATTTGCTGTTTTGTGTTGGATTTGGGTTGTTATTTTGAGCTCCTATATATATCCCACAGCCCTCATTTGTTTAGTAACTAAGCAAGCAAAGAATATCAAGAGTTTCTACTTGTGTTTTGTTTTTGAGCTTAAACTTTCATCTTACTCTCAAGTTTCTAGTTTTTAGTTTTCACATTCATAACCCACAAATCCCTGAGCTTCAATTATTTCTCTCTTTATCCTTGTTATAGGATTGTTGTAAGAGAGATACTTCATTCATTTTGTATTGTGTGGTAAGCTTGATCTCGAGGAGATCATTGTGTGGCGAGTTAGATCTCGAAGAGATCGTTGTAAAGAAGTTCTGGCTTCCAAACCGGGTTGTGTAGTGTATTACCATCGGGAGAGGTGGTTGGGGACGTAGGTCAAGGGGACCAAACCTCGTGAACATATCGGCGTCTCATCTGGCTAACAATTTCTTACTCTCTCTCTCATTTATTTCTATATTGCTATATAGTGTCTTGAGTTGCATTGAATTTCATTAATTGCACATTAATTGTTTGATTAACCTATTCAANGTAATTTCATATTAATCTATCTCAAAACTTGTTTGGAATGAGTTCATCAAAATCGAGCATTTAACTACTCCGTATTTTTGACGATTTTGCAAAATATTGAGTTTTCACAAATGGAAAATGATATTTTAGAAATTTCTTTTTAACATGTTTATTTTCATATATATAAATATTTCCCCAAGTTTTACTATTTATGAAGTTAATTTTCTATTTTAAATTGATTTTAGAAAATCAAGTTTTTAGCAGTTTAAGTATCTGAAAAATCAGCTATCGATCGACCGATCGGCTCCACCAGTCGGCCGACTAGAAGAATTTTTCAGCGTCTAATTTTTTAGTCTTATCAGTCGGACTATTTATTAAATGACTCGATCGAGCATAGTGTTTTCAATCGACCGATTGGTTTTATCAGTCGACCGACTGTGTATTATTTTTCAGAATTAGCCAACGGCTCGTTTATCAGTCAACTGATGAAATTGACCAGTCAACTAATCTGCACTTTTTACTGTAACGGCTAGTTTTTTGTTGTTTTGTTTGAGAGGCTATAAATAACCATCAAGACTTGGTTTTTCACTTAGAGTTTTTATAAGATTGTTTCACTAGTTTGTTTCTAAGTTTAAGGGTGTTTGTTTATGTGAAGAAAGTTTCACAAAGAGAAGAATGTCAATTTCATTTTTGAGGAGTCCATCCTCAAATCTCAAATCTCTCTTTGTTTTGGAGAAGTTTTTCTAAACTCATCCTCTAGCTAATTATTATTTTGATTCTCATATTGTTATGCTAGATTGATTTGAGTTTAATTTTGTTTTACTCATTGTTTACACACAACCATTTGAGCTTTAGTATTTTAAATTTAGTATATTTGGGTTGTGAGTGATTCATTGAGTGAGCTTCATTTTCGTTATCATTTGTATTAGAGAACAAAATATTTATTTGCACTTATTGTTAAAACACATTGTAATACACGAGAATACTTAGAGAAGTGGTTGGAGAGAGACCGGGGTTAATTCCAAGATAAATGATTGATTTCCTAGCTCTAGAATCTATCTTCTCTTTTTTTCCACCTTAGGGTGGTAAGTGGTTGATTTCCTTCTACTACGAATCCTCATTAAACAAGAAAACACACAAATCACCACAGAGATAGTAGCATTAGAAACCATCCTCATTAACGTCTCTTCATCAATGTCGTCCATCTACATTGTTCTAAAAAGAAATTTCCTGTAAAAATATGATACATTATCTTGTATTCACTAAGACAAATATTAGAATGATGATACAAAGATAAAAATCTAATTGTTACTTAATGAATCTTTTTATAGAACTGAGTTTGGTCCATAAAGATCAACTAAACACTTAACTCAAAAAATTTAAGGAGTTAAGTAATCAACAATGTTCAAGTGCTCGGACGTAGATAAATTTTTTTTATAGAACTGAAGGGATAAGCTAATAAAACTAAAAGCAAATTAAAGTCCTAAAATAGTATACGAAATTCAAACTAATCTTACAAGTGCGCAGATAATGAACATGAAGTCAAAATCAATTTCATAGACTAATCAATGGAACGAGAATTCAAACGAAATTCAAACTAATCTTACAAGTGCGCAGATAAGAATATCCCAGTTATTTTCAAGCAATGGACGAGAACAATTTCGTCTTCAATCCAAATCAATTTCAGAGACTAATAATTATGCAGAACCAAATTCACCAAACCCGAATCAATTTCACATATAACCACCAAATCAATTTCACAGAAACCCCAAATTATTTTCACCAAACCCCAAAATTTCAAAGAAACCCTAATTTACAAAGAAAGGGAACGAGATTTACCTGCCAAGGAGGAGGCGTAGTTCGGTTGGAGAGAAGTTCGATTGAAACAACAAAAACACCAAATCAATTTAACCCAAAACGTTAAGGAGAGTTGAGGAGAGGTAGGGCGGTGGAGCTGGGAGTCGGGAACGCTGAGGAGGAGGCGGAGCCCGGTGAGGTTGAGGGCGGAGAGGAGGGAGGGGGTGGCATCGTAGAGACGGAGAGGAGGGAACGAGATCTAGGGTTTTCGTGCAGAAAATAGGACGACGGGTAAAAGAGGAGGGAGATGAAAGCGGTGACCCTAGGAAACTAATTTCAGGATATCAGTGTAAAGTTTGATGAGCTGGACACGCGTTGGGAGAGATCTAGCCTAAATCCTCTCTCAAAGAGGGGATTTCACAAATGCTATAATATAATAGTTTTTTATTATTTGGGTATTCAATGTCCCAAAATTTATTTTGAATCAAATAAAGGTTATAGAATCCATAAACTCAAAAAAACTCATTTTTCCATCCTAGAATTTATAATTTACCCTATATCCAAAAAAAAAAGTTGAAACAGACACCCCCTCAGCCTCATGGTACATTTTACTGCTTTTGGCAGTGGAGGCGATGGTTCCCAATGTTTTAACAATGTCATGATGTCAGAAGAGGAGATCATGAAAGTTCAAGCATTCATGAAGTGTATTTTAAATAAGAATTTGATATTAGTTTGACGATTACATGAGAACTTAAAATAATGTTAATCCTTATCATAATATTTACAATAACACAAGGTTGTCCTAATTAAGCAACAGACAAGTTGCACTTTAGTAGCAATTCTTTGGGGTTATACCAAGTGAAGATAGCTGGCTCTCATGATAAATAGCTGGCTCTCATGATCAAATATTTTGGTACATATAAAAATCTGTTATGTTGGAGAGAACACTAACTTTACATTCTACTATAAAAATAAAATAAAACGTACAAAGAGAACACTAACTTTACATAGTATTGTTTGGTTCGGTTCAATCTTTGGTTCGGTTTGCTTCACTTCGGTTTTAGTTTAATTGAAACAGGTCAAAACTGACCGTTTGCTCACCCCTACCCAGCCGCCACAGCAGCAACCACTAACCTTACTTTGTACCATAAAATAAAAATAAAATAGGAAAAATAAAAATAAAAATGCAATATAATTCAACATTACTTGTGTCAGAACCTTATTCACTCTCTCAAATCATCAAGCATTAAATCCAATAAACAGGACCATAAGGACAAGGGCATTGGAGTTTTGGCATCTGGGAGCGGCGTTGGGGAGAGGTGTCAGTGTCGAAGTCAGCACATTTTTGCCCGGTATTCCCCCCCCCTCCCCCCCCGCCACAGCAGCAACCACTAACCTTACTTTGTACCATAAAATAAAAATAAAATAGGAAAAATAAAAATAAAAATGCAATATAATTCAACATTACTTGTGTCAGAACCTTATTCACTCTCTCAAATCATCAAGCATTAAATCCAATAAACAGGACCATAAGGACAAGGGCATTGGAGTTTTGGCATCTGGGAGCGGCGTTGGGGAGAGGTGTCAGTGTCGAAGTCAGCACATTTTTGCCCGGTAGTGTGGGCATCAGGGTGGAGCTCGGTGGTGACGGCCACCACCAAACATGATACAGAAACAAATGAGAGGATGAGGAGGATCAAACGGAGGGGCATATTAAGGGTACTCTACCCTTCGAACAAGACCGACTAATAATTATGCAAAACCTCTCGTGTTAAGACATTTACATCACCATATCAACCTGCCATCCCCATCTAATCACAAAACAACCAGAAAAGACCCAACTCCCAAAAAATAGTTCAAAACATAGTTTGAACAGTAAGACCCCGTTATAATAGTCATAATATTGCCAGACAATCTGCTAGCTCATGATAAGCACCCTCTGTATAACGAACGTACTCTAATTCTAAATCTGTAACTTAATGGTGAGCGTTCTAATTTTGTTGCTATTGAATACAACATGACAACCCAAAAAGACCTGAGATTGTCAATTATATACCAGCCAACAAAGTTAATAGCATTGTACCAAAGAATGTAAAGCAAATTTTTTAAGCTTGAACCAGACCTCAATAGTCCACCATCACTGCATCAGAACAAAATCTCTCAACTCAGGAAAAATCAAGCATCAGCAAAAGTGATGAACATGAAACTAGTGCTTGCTAGGGCAGAAGAGCAATACAAATTCACATCTTTGTAATATACGGACAGGCAGCGATTGAATAGCAAAGTACTGCACGCCAGCTCCAAGTGAACATACACTACTATTTCATAATCTATGGAACTATTAGATGCAGGCATCATATGAAAAACTATGAAACCCATCCTGCAAATCAGTAACGACCTCATTCTTTCTCGCCCTAAGTTCTTCTCATTTTGGACCTTGCATATCTG